TAGAAGGTTCTGGAACAAAACCATTTGGGTTCTACAACCAGAATGCTTTACAAACTATTTGCTTTGAGAAGTTACAATATCACCCAGTTGGCCCAGAGCATATATTTCAAACATGCTCATCGTCTCCATTTAGCCTGAAAAAGGATGCTTTACAAACTATTTGCTATGGGAAATCACATTACCACTCTGTACCTGAGTTTTCTTTAAAATGTGGATCTCAGCGGGGCTGGCTAGGCGGCACAGCAATAACATGCCACTCAAGCAATGCTGGGAGCATACGAAAGACTGTGGGTTAGGTACATGCTCGGTGCACACACCCATGGTCCTGACTAGCCAGCAGGGATGCTAGAGGAAGTGGGGACTATGGCAGGAGACCTTGTTGAGCATGCTTGTCTCTGTCTCTCTCAAGAAATACCTTTTCAAAATTTGGAACAAGGGCATGGTTGTACCACTCTACGGCAAATTTTGGATCAAAGTACCATCCCCTTATTGGGCCCTTTTAGCTACTGATAAAATTAAAGAAAATTATGTGTGTTTGTGTGTGTGTGTATGTGTGTGTACACACGTGTGGCTTAGGGAGACAGCTAGTATTTAGGAAGTATTAGAAAAATGATAATCTATTGGTGTTTTTGTATACCATTATGTTATAAATGCATTATTATCTTTGTATATATATATTCCAAGGATTTGAAATTATTTGATGCTATCATAAATGGTATCTTTAAAGCAAACATCATTTTCTAGTTGTTGCTGATACATAGAACTATAATTAAATTTATATATAGACCCGGTAATCAGTAACTTGATTTAATTCGTTTATGAATTCTAACAGTTCTATGTAAAATATTATAGATTTTCCATGTACACAATTAAATTACCTGCAAAACAAAAGAAAACAAAAAGAAAGATAAAAATGGTAACTGTTTTTCCCTTATAGTTTATTTTATGCCGGGCACTTTATATGTGAGGCTACATCAAACTTTTTAAACATTGTAAAGTAGGTGTGACCTTTCTCACATCATAGAAGAGGAAATTGAAGCCTACCTAGTAGAGAGACTTTGTCTCGGACCTCCAGGGGAGTCTCTGATGTGCCCGTATAGGGATCTGTGGTCAAACTGGACCTCACTGTATCTTTCCCCTTCCACACATGCAGATTCACCATGAGGGCCAATGAAACAATGTATTAATTCTTCCAGGCTTTGGGACAGCTTTCTGGTACCTCTGGACTAGATAGTCAGTAGTTATTGGGCCTGTCCTTGCTCTCTCTCTCAAGGAGAGAAGTAAACTCTCAGAAGCAGGTGGAGTGAGTAAGGAGAGATAAACTACAGAATCTCTGAATGACCTGCAGGTGTATGGGAGATTAGGAGATAAAGTGACTTCACCACAATCCCTTTTCTTTACACACCTCTCAGGGACAGGCAGCTCTGCAAGATTGCAGTTGTTGGCCTCACAAAACCCCATGAAAATAGTCACCCTTTTCTTCCCTAACTTCCACTTATAGCTGGGTTCAAATTTTAGCATTTCCAGTTAATCTTTCTGGAAGCTTGGATAACTCACCAAATTTCCATTTGTAAATATAAGTGCATAATCCCTTACTCTCATGGGCAATGCACATCTAAAACAATGGTTCTCAACTTTGGCTGCGTTTAGGAATCACCTGGAAATACTTCATCACTACTGATGCCTAGGTCTTACCCCCAGAGATTCTGATAGACTTGTTCTGAGGAATGGTCTAGATGTCAGTTTTTTAAAAGATTCCCAGATGATCTTAATAAGCAGTCAAAAATAGAACCTTTGATATACATGTAGCAAGTACTCAATAAACACTATCTCTTCACATTTCTTTAGTGTTAATCTGCTTAAAATTTATCTCTAAAGCTTACTCAGCTTCTCAGGATGGCTCAAGAATTCTTCATTTCTGCCACTTTCCTGCATGTTCTCATACTGACAACCTCTGTACTTTCAAAACAGATGACTCAATTCCCAGCCAATCAGCCAGGACCTCTATCTAGCTTTGGCTCCTCTTCTGTTGATTGGCTGGAGACAACTAGTTAAGACACACAATGCCCTCTTGGAGATGCCAATGAGAAAATCAAACAGATGGGGTAATCCATTGTTCACTCTTCAACCAAGTAACCACATGATCTGCCTAAAAACCTCTCCCTTTCAGCATGCAGAAGGCTCACATTACAAAGCCCCAAATTCTCTCTGGTAGGTCTTAAACAATAACATTCATCCACCTGTATCCACGAGCTAACCTCTCCCCACTCGCCTTTGTATGAATGCCCACCTCCATTCTGCATGGACTACTCCCACGTCAGGAGATGTGCCTCCAGCCAGTCACTCGTTTCCAGCCACGCCTCCCCCAAAACACTCTACTCCAGTCATGCAGTTTCCCAAAAGCTCTCCATGATTTGCACACGTGTGCCCTTTGCTTTAAATGCCTCTTCTTCCCAGGGTCTACCTGGAAGATTTTTACTCACCTTCAAAAGTCCAATTCAAATGTTCTGCTCTGTAGCTTACCAACCTGTCCTCCCAGTCCCATCTCCATCTTTCCCCCCAGCTCAACAGCATTTAGTCATTTCCCATCTCCATCTTTCCCCCCAGCTCAACAGAATTTAGTCATTTCCAATCATGTACTTTCATAATCTTTGTAATGCTTAAGTTTACCATGCATTATATTATTTCATTATACCAGATTTTGTCATTTTGTCTTTTCATAACCAACTCCTACTATAGGGACAGGGCCTTAGCAGGTGCAAACTGAATACTTGTTGGACTGAATCCAATTCTCTGTCCTCAAAGCTATACCAGTCAATTTTTGAAACACTTCACTCAAATAATCAAGATGAATTTCTCTCTTCCCATTTAAAGCTTATTAGAATTCATCTGCTGTGATTAAAACTTTAACAAGTAAAGATTAATTTGCTTGCCCATGTATGTAGATATGAACAAAAAAAAGAGAATAAACACTTACCACAAATCTGAAATAACACAAGAGATGTCTTGTCTCTAGAAAGAATAACTACATTTTACAAGAAAGGGAGTATATTTAACAGAGGAGGGTATGAAAGAAAGACTTGAGAGGGGAAATGTTGCTGTTTTATTTCCTGAGATGGGGGATCCAGTGGGAAGGGATGAAAGGAGAGCACCTGCTTTACCTTTTCCGGAGCAGGCAGCTGTAAGTGATTAACCTCCAAGGGAGTGATGAGAGGGACAGTCTGGAAGCCATCCTCAACCGAAGGCGGCTTGGTTCCCTTCTCGCTGGGGTTACTGTTCAGCTTCACCATCCTTACACCTTTTTTCCCAGACCTAAGGCGAGCAATTGGATTCTGGTTACAGCAGGAGGTGAGGGAGGGAAGGAGAAGGCTGATGACAGAGAAAACAGGACTGTCCTCAACAGCTTCACTCGGGTGGCTTTCAATCTAGCAGTCATTGATCTTCCACTATTTTCTGACATTGTCCATTAAAACTTCTTTAATCATCAAAATATGCCACCTTCTAATGGGACTCAACCAGCCCTCAAATTTTGGAAACTCAAGAAAAATCACACACACACACACACACACACACACACACACACATACACACAAACATGTAAGCAAAAAAACAAACAAACAAATAAAAAAAAACAAGACCGTTGAGCTCAAGTATTCATATAATCCCAGTGAAAAGCTTATTCTTAGTGCAAAATGAAATCCTATTATTCTGGATCCCCCTGCAGTATGATAAATTTCACCTCACCACCTTGGCTGCTATTATTAGTTTTTCTTCAGCAATCCCCCTAAATCACAATAAATGTGTTCAATGTCTCTATGTGTATCCCTTGCATCATATGTAGATTGTACATGAGATATAATTTCTTGCAATAAAAAAGGCTGACTTAAGCCCGATCCTGTTCTTCAGCCATGGAATGCCTCCATTTCCTCAATAGCGAAAGGCCATTTTTTTTTTTTTTTTGGTTCCATGGAAAGTTAGCAGCCCCTTTATTGCAAGATTGCCAACTAAATAAACAAATAGCATTTATTCCTCTCCAGATTCCTTGGAAGTCAGACGATGCTCCCACCCCACCCCCAAAAGCCCAGCACAACTGAATTTCTCCTTAAGCCCGATCCTGTTCTTCAGCCATGGAATGCCTCCATTTCCTCAATAGCGAAAGGCCATTTTTTTTTTTTTTTGGTTCCATGGAAAGTTAGCAGCCCCTTTATTGCAAGATTGCCAACTAAATAAACAAATAGCATTTATTCCTCTCCAGATTCCTTGGAAGTCAGACGATGCTCCCACCCCACCCCCAAAAGCCCAGCACAACTGAATTTCTCTTGTCAATCCTGCTAATGGACCGTTATTAGACAAAATATGGGCTGTTGTGGGGTGAAAGGAGTGGCAGGATATTGGGGAGCAGTTATAGCAAAAACAAATGCCTACTTACTGTGTTGCACTCTCGTGGGTCAGAACAGATTCCAGCCAATTTGAAGAGGAGGAGGATGGCCAGGAGTCCTCCCTCCTCAGGCCGCGCTTGTGGTGCTGAAAGGACAGCGCCTCGCGTGTGTCTGGATCCGGAGCTTCTGAGAGCAAGGCGTGAGCAAGCGGGGAAGAGCTCCTGGCAGCTGCCTGCCTGCTTGCTCGCTCGCGCCCCCTCCCACTGGGGAAAGGGCTCCCACACCATCTGTCATCTGGCACCACCTGCTGTTTCTCATGCATGGCCACAACCACTGCATGGGACAAAACGTTTCAAGAAAGTGGGAGGGATTCTGGACACACACTCACACAAATTAATACACATCATTCTACAAGTAATCCTTGAGCCTTTGGGAAAAGCGGAAAAGCAGACATTTTCATTAGGATCACTTCCTAGACATTGCAAAATGATATAATGAAACACAGAAAGGTTGAAAACCTACACCATGTCAGGACCGAAAGGAAACTGATATTACTGTGTCACTCCCATGTAATGGGCACTTTTCCAGCCTCTTTCAGACTGATTCCCTCATTTGCACGATGTGGTTTCTAATAGTACCTACACGGTGGCTTTAGTGTTAGGCATGAACAAGATAGCATCGGGAAAGTATTTTAGGCAGAGCAGGGCACATGGCAAGACTGCACAAACACAGCTACTACTCTCACAGTTGTGCCGTGGACAGACAGGCCACCTAAGGCTCCAGAGCTACTGGAGCACCAGAAGTGGGACTTGAAGCCTGGTGCACTGCCACCAAAGTTTGTGCCCAACCCATGATATACGGCTTCTCTATCGATGTCTGGAATTAGTGAAGGCAAAGTCCCAGTGTCAGTTCTACCAAATTCTAGCCATAGGCTCTTACACATTTTATGTTCACTCTCTAAGTTTTCATTTCCTTATCTCTGGTGTGAGAATAATGACAGTTTCCCTGCAGTGGTTGTGAATATGAGAAGAGATGGTGCTCAAGAAAAATGGGTTTTGGGAACCAGCAGTTAGCATAATGGGTATGTTGCTGGACTTCCACGTAGTCGACCAAGGGTCATGTCCTGGACCCGGTGGCTTAAAACTCACGCAGGGCACATGTGCGTGCGTGCCCAAGATCCCAAGAGGAGAATGGTGGAGAAGGGATTGCAGCGTGACCATCCCCCCTGGGGGGTGATTTCTGTCTCTATGTCTCTCTCTGTCTGTCTGGCGAACGCACGCCCCCTATAGCAAGAAAAAAAACAAAAAAAAAAAAAACCTCCCCAAAAGAAAAAAAAAAAAAAACCTCCCCAAAAGAAAAAAAAAAAAAAACCTCCCCAAAAGAAAAAAAAAAAAAAACCTCCCCAAAAGAAAAAAAAAAAAAAACCTCCCCAAAAGAAAAAAAAAAAAAAACCTCCCCAAAAGAAAAAAAAAAAAAAACCTCCCCAAAAGAAAAAAAAAAAAAAACCTCCCCAAAAGAAAAAAAAAAAAAAACCTCCCCAAAAGAAAAAAAAAAAAAAACCTCCCCAAAAGAAAAAAAAAAAAAAACCTCCCCAAAAGAAAAAAAAAAAAAAACCTCCCCAAAAGAAAAAAAAAAAAAAACCTCCCCAAAAGAAAAAAAAAAAAAAACCTCCCCAAAAGAAAAAAAAAAAAAAACCTCCCCAAAAGAAAAAAAAAAAAAAACCTCCCCAAAAGAAAAAAAAAAAAAAACCTCCCCAAAAGAAAAAAAAAAAAAAACCTCCCCAAAAGAAAAAAAAAAAAAAACCTCTCCAAAAGAAAAATAAAATGGGTTTTAACTTGGGGACAAGATTCTGGATAGCTGAATTATTTCATCCCCGAGGACAGCTCTGACACTCTAAGTCCTCTCAGGCTGACTATTGCCACTGGACTCTCCCAGCTGTGGTTCACATCACTGCTGGCTGTTCATCACCCGCTGTCTTGTTGTTTATAGCGCTCTTTGTGAGGTCTAGTTGTCTTGGCATTTGTAACAGCAACTCCTTTGCTTTCAAGGGTATTCTGGTTTGCATGAGGTTTTTCCACACTAATCAGTGTTCACATGCTAAGCACACACTCTACTAGTCAAAAGGCCAAGAGGAAATATACCTATTATCTGTATTGTTCAATGATGAAATTTGTGTACATGTGTGTGTTTAAGAGAGGACAGAGATGTTTTGGAGATAAGAAAAGAAATAACATATCAGAGTTGCACAGGCTGCTGTTAATAGAAGTATGTCCATATATAAGAGGGAGGTGTTCCAATAGATGTTAGTTCCCACCCCTCCTTTCTACAGACCTGGATGATTTTCAGGTGCAAGCATTGTCTAAGGACAACACAACAATACTGTCTAAGTAGACGACCAAGCAGAGTTCATTGTAAACACTGGATTTTTTGTTTGTTTGGTTTTGTGACGTTTTTGCTATAGGGCGTGTGTGCTTGCCAGAAAGACAGAGAGACAGAAAGCAAGAAGTCACCCCCCAGGGGGGATGGTCACACCACAATCCTTTCTCCTCCATTCTCCTCTCAGGATCTTGGGCATGCACACAAACGCACCCGGCATGAGTTTAAGCCACCAGGTCCAGGACTTGAACTGCAGTCAGTTACATGGGAGTCCAGCAACATAGCCATTACGCCAACTGCTGGTCCCAACACTGGATGTTTCATCTTATTATTACTGCCTCCAAAGGAAAAATAAATTCCCTTTCACATATCTTATGATTGATTTGCAAGCAGAAACCACACTTTAATAATTCCTGGGAGTCTAGTGAGGTCCAGGAGAAAGAGCTAGCACCAATGGAAAATTCAGGTTTCTTGATAAGTGAGGCCAGAAGAAAGGCTGCCAAAATCCTAACAAGATGGAGACATAGAGGAGAAGGGACTGTGATGTGACTATACCCCATTGGGAAGTGCTTTTGTGCTTTCTCTCTCTTTCTCTCTCTCTTGCTCTCTCTCATAGGTTATGAATCCTCTGGCAATGATAAAAATAAAAACTGAGATACAAAAAATGTTCTCTGACCATAATAGAGTTAGACCAGAACTCAATAACCAGAAATAATATCAGAAAAATCCTTCAATTTAACAACACAGTTCTAAATAATCTATATGTCAAAGAGAAATTATCTGGAGAAAGTAGAAAACATTTTAACTGAACAAACATGAAAATTCAAGATATCAAAATTTGAAGAGCACAGCTACGGCAATGTTAAAGGAAAATTTACAGTATTACTTGTGTACACTACAAAAGAAGTTCTCAAATAAATAATCTAAGCTGTCATCCAAGAGAAAAAGAAAAGGCAAAATAACCTAAAGCTGGGAGAAGGAAAGAGATAATAAAGAGTAGAAATCAGTAAAGTGGAGAACAATAGAGCAAATAAATGAAATCAGAAGCGGGTTCTTTGAAAAGCCCAGTAAATTTGATAAGCCTCTAAAAAGACTGACAAAGAGAAGAGAGAGAATACACAAATTGCCACCAGCATGGATAAGACAGGGATAAAATCACAGAGCATACAGATGTTTAAAAATAATAAGGGACCACTACAAACAACTCTGCATAAATTTGATAAAGTATATTAAATAAACCAATTTCTCAAAAACCACAAGTTAACTAACCCAAGATGAAATGATAACCTGAATAGTTACAACTGTTAAGGAAACTGAATTTGTAGTTAAAAACTTCCGCCAAAAAAGAAATCTTCACACCCAAATTACTTCAACGGTGAATTAAACCAAATATCTTTTAAAAGAAATAGCATAATCTCTTCCAGAAAACAAAAGAGGAGGTAAACAGTTCCCAACTCATTCCACAAGGCTAACTGAAATCAAACCCAAAGACAACACAAGTCAAGAAAACTATAGGCCAGTATACTTCATGAACCCAGGTACAAAAAAAATCTTCAATAAAATATTAGGAATTCAAATCCTACAATAGACAAAAATAATAATACACCATGAATAAGGTAGCTTCTTCAAGGAGTACAATTGATGGGAAAACCGCATTTAATAAAATTTAACATCTATTTGCAATAAAAACTTTCCCAAAACTAAGAATAGAAAGGAACTTCCTCAGACTGATACAGGGCATCTTTAGACACATTACTATTAACTAAAATTCATAGTTTATATTAGGGTTCAACTTCGTGTTGTACATTCTATAACTTTCAGTAAATGTATAATGACATGTGGCCATCATTATAGCAGTATGCAAATAATTTCACTCTTTAATAAAACCCCTGTGCTCCACCTATTCCTCCCTTCCTCCTTCCAATCCTGGGCAATGACTGATTATAAATCTGCCTTTTTCAGTATGCTATGTAGTTGGAAATACAATATGTTGTCTTTTCACATTGGCTTCTTTCACTTAGCAATGTGCATTCGAGGTTCCTCCATGTCTTTTCACAACTTGATAGCTCATTGGTTTTCAGCAATTTCCATTGTTTGGATGTATCCTTGGTGTGCAAGGATTTATGTGACTGTAAGTTTAATGCTTTTGGGTAAATACCAAGGAGGGCAATTGCTAAATCATGTAGTAAGGGTACGTTTTGTTTTGTAAGAAACTGCCAAGATGTCTTCCAAAGTGTTGGCGCCATTTTGCATTCCCACCAGCAAACGATGAGCGTTCCTGTTGCTCCTCATCCTTGTCAGCATTTAGTGTCAGTGCTTTGAATTTAGCCACTCCAGTAGATATGTAATGGTATCAAATTCTGATTTCAAACAGCTGCTTTTGTATTTTAAGAAAAATTCTAATTGCTTCTAGCAGAAGTACTGCTAATAAAAACTCTCCATCATAACAGAGAAAAATTGGAGACTTACTCTCTCAGATGCTAAGTTCAAAACTCCTAAGGAAGAACTCTATGGGCCCAAGTAAAATTCAGTGCCTGCTTCTGATAAAGATATTTGTAAGAAAATGACAACTCCCATTCAAACCCCACAGTTAAAGTGGACAAAAGCATTTTTTTTTTAAAGAAAGTATTTCTACAAAGTGAGGAGTATTAAGCATTCCAAACAACAGATATCTATCTACCACAATGGCATGCTGAAGAGTTTAAGGTTAAACTTTGCCTTTTGCTTAATAATGCACCCTTAGGCTGGCTCTATGTCCAGGTGGTTAAAGCAGCTAAACCCTACATGACCAACCCCACTGCTTGAGTCCTGGACCTGTGCCTTAAAAAACATGCTGGGCATGTATACATGTGTGCCCCAAATCCTGATGGGACA